AACATTGGCCAACCAAAGTCCTTTAGTTATGGTAGAGTTAGAATTGCCACTAGTTGTATGGAGTTTATCAATAACACCATGAATATAGAATGCAATGGTAGACTCCATCCAGTTCTGGTTTGTGAAGAACAATCGCATGTTTTAGTGGATAGTGGAGGCATATTGCTCAGTGAGGTTGAGGAAGACTGCAGTTCCAATGAGGTAGAGTAGCCTAATCAGAAAGGGGTGAGATATGGCGATATGATTGTCGATAATAAGGCTGTGGAGTTTGAAGATGATGAAGTTCAGTTGGAAAATGCTAGTGATATGGGGCTTGGAAATAGGCTAGAAATGTCAGGTATAAGTCATCAGTTGGATACAGTAGTTGAAGAGAACCAAGGTGGCGTGGGGAACAATTTGGTAGTTGAAGAGCATCTAGAGACGGCAGTGGCAGAGAGTAGCTTAGAAGCTAATGATGATAATCTAAGGGTTGGGGAGCAACTTATTACACCGGGTTTTTTTAGGGGCTTAAGTGGGTCTGCAGGTCATAGGCCTGGTATTAGTCTGGAAGTGAATCTGGGCCCTATTCAAGATCCAGTGGAGCATAGCAAATTGGGCCATGCCCACAAACCAGTGGTGAATAGCAGTTTGGGTCTTATTGTGAGGGGCCCAAATACACAATCACATTCTACTTCTGAGTGGGTATCTACAAGACCACGCATGGACAAAGGGCAATCAGATCCAAATAGGTTAATAGCCAGCATACCTGGTGAGAAGAAGTTAAGTAAGAAAGGTAAAAGCAAGGTTAGATTTTTTGGTGCAACAAAATCCATCATTGGGTCAAAGGATATCCATACCTAGCTCGTTTGTATGATCATAAAGAAGCATCATCCAGCAAGTCCATCCCTAAATATGATATATTTAGGGTTGTTGCAGTAGTTGTGTCACTTTCTGCTTCAACTGAGGGTAGCTCTTGCAATAGAAGTCACCTTCTAAGTGAGGCTCAAGCAGACTTAAAGTTGGGAGAAATCCTGGGCATCAACTACCAAGGTAAAGAATCTGAAACTTTGAACAAAATGGTGGATTTGGAATTAGTTGACAGAGAAAGGAGGATGGAGAAGAGGAAAGAATAGGGGCTGTGGGTCTCTTTATAGAGAATTGGGTAGTATCATTGTTTACTTATGAAGTTGATGTCTTGGAATGTTAGAGGATTGGGGAAGTTAGAGAAGAAGGGAAGGATTAGAAAGCTCATATATGAAAGAAAGGCTGATGTTGTGCTTTTTCAGGAGACAAAGAAAGTTTCTATTTCTGAGTGTGAAGTAAGAGCATCGCGGGGCAGGAGAAATATGGATTTTATGGTTGTGGGTTCTAATGGGACTGCTGGGGGTTTACTTTGCATTTGGGACCCAGACTTTTTTCGGTTAGTGGATTGTTACAGTAATAGAAGATTTATTCTCCTATCAGGTAATTTGTTGCACACCTTTAACTGTACTATTTTGAATGTGTATGCACTGAATTAGGTGAGTAGTAGACGTAATTTTTTGGGACTCCTTGATGAAGCTAGAATCTGCATTCCCAAATCCATGGTGTTTGGGAGGTGATGTAAATGAGATTAGAAATATTGGTGAGAGGGTGGGTTGTTTCAGAAGAGATAAGGGGATGATGGATCTAAATTCCTTCATTGAGAGTTGTGAGTTGAACGATTTACCATTGCTAGGTAGGAAGTTCACATGGTGCAATGCTCAAGATGGCGAGAGATGGAGTAAGATTGATAGAATTTTGCTTAATCCAGAGTGGCTGCTAAAGTTCAATTTTAAATTATGGGGTCTTCCAAGGCTTTTTTCTTATCATTGTCGTCTTTTGCTTATAGATGATGAGAGGGATTGGGGACCTAAACCTTTTAGGTTCATTAATGCTTGGACTATCCATCCAAGTTTTCCCTCATTATTGGAAAAGGTTTGGCAGGAAGCTAGGATTAATGGGAGAGCTGGATATGTCTTGTTCCAAAAGCTAAAACTTTTGAAGGTGGAGCTGAAGAAATGGAATTCTAAAGTTTTTGGAAATCTATCAACAAAACTCAAAAAGACAGAGGAAGAATTAGTTGCTCTAGACATTCTGGCTGAAGGTAGACCTCTGGTTGAGGCTGAGAAAATTGAAAGAAGAACAGTGAGAGGTGAAGTTTGGAAGCTTAGTAGAATTGTGGAATAGCTATGGCAATAGAAGTCTAGAGTAAACTGGACAATTAATGGGGACAAAAATACTAAGTTTTTTCATGTTATGGCTAGCAGTAGGAGGAGTAGAAATTCTATTAATTCCATCATAGTTGAAGGTAAGGTTTTTGAGGAGCTAGCTAAGGCAAAGTATGAGGTCTTACAACACTTCAAAAGGCAGTTCTCTGAAAGCTGGGTAAGAAGACCAGTGTTAGGAGGGTTATTTAAATCAGTTTAATCAAGCTCTTTATTTTATGATCTTGAAGCTGTGTTCTCTGAAGATGAAGTAAGGGCAGCTGTTAAGGAGTGCAATAGTGATAAGGCTCCTGGCCTTGATGGGTTTAATCTCCTCTTTTTTTCAGAAATTCTGGAAGTCGGTTCAACCTGAGGTCATGCATTTTTTGAGGGATTTTCATGCCACTAGCAGACTCCCCTATGGGATCAACGGCTCCTTTATCACTCTTATCCCTAAGACTGGTAATCCCCTTGGTTTGTCTGATTATAGGCCCATTAGTTTGGTGGGTAGTTTGTACAAGATTCTCTCTAAAGTGTTGGCCCATAGACTCAAGAGAGTTCTTCCTGAAGTTATTGGAGAAACACAATCTACTTGGGGGGGGGGGAGAAGTATATTGGATGGGGTGTTTATTGCTAATGAAATAGTTGATGGCTAGATAAAAACTAGAAGGAAATGTGTGATTATCAAACTTGACTTTGAGAAGGCTTATGATTCAATTAATTGGAAATTCCTATTCTCTATGTTGTATAATTTTGGCTTGGGATTAAAGTGGATTTCTTGGATGAGGGAATGCATCTCCACAGCAAGATTGTCTGTTTTAGTTAATGGCTCACCCACAGAGGAGTTTTCACTACAGAAAGGTCTTGGATAAATTGATTCCCTATCTCCTTTCCTCTTCAATTTAGTGGCAAAAGGTATGAATATCTTAATGAGCAGAGCCTATGAGCAAGGCATCATCAAGGGGGTAAAAGTGGGGGTAAACATGGTAGTAATTTCCCATCTCCAATTTACAGATGACTCCATAATATTTTGCGAGGCTGAAATGGATCAAATAGTGCACACAAAAAGTCCTGAGATGCTTTGAAATTCTGTCTGGAATGAGAATTAACTTCCACAAGAGTGTTGTGTGTGGAGTTGGTGTAGATGAGGAAACTTTGGCTTCTTTCACAGATACTCTGAATTGCAAGGTTCATGGCCTACCACTCAAATTTTTGGGTCTTCCCTTAGGTGCTAATCCAGGAAGGAAATCAACTTGGAAGCCAGTTTTGGATAAAGTAAGATCTAGGTTGGCTGGGTGGAAGAGAAGGCTCCTATCCTTTGCCGGTAGATTAACTTTAATTAAGTCTGTATTATCAAGCCTTCCAATTTACTGTCTCTCTATGTTCAAAATGCCTACTGGAGTGGTTAGAGAGATTGAAAGGCTTGAAGCTTCTTTCCTGTGGGGTGGGAATGGTTTAAAGAGGAAGGTTCATCTGGTGAAATGGGCTGAAGTAACCAAAAATATGGATCAAGGTGGTTTGGGGATTAAGAGGAATAAGGATATCAATGCAAGCTAATTGTTTAAATGGTAGTGGAAATTTGGATGTGAAGTAAATGCTCTATGGAAAAGATTGTTATGCAGCAAGTAAATGTTTGAAGAAAATAATTGGATCCCAACTGTGAACTCTTCATCTAGATACTGAAGAATTTGGAGTGATGTTCTTGCCATTGCAGGTCAAAATCAACCTCTTAAGGAGTTCTATTTGGTGCAGTTTCAGATAAAGGCTGGGAATGGGTGTAGAATAAAGTTTTGGCATGATAAGTGGGCTGGTGTTAGGTGCCTTAAAGATGAGTACCCTAGACTCTTTAGTTTGTCTAATGACAAGGAGGCCACACTGTCTGTTTTTTATACAAGGAAATCCAGTTTAGAGGAGTGGAACTTCTCTTTCAGAAGGGATTTATATGATTGGGAGAAGGCTGAGGTCACCAGTTTGGCTACTGGGTTGAGGGAGGCTCCTTCACTAAGTCTTGATGTAGAAGATTGTGCTATGTGGAAGGGTTCTACTGATGACAGCTTTAAGGTTTCTGATATGTATAGGTTCACTGACTCTCTTTTGGGCCATCATCTCAAAATTTGTAAGTTTGTTGGGAATAAGAGCATTCCCCCCAAAGTTCAATTCTTGGGTTGATTGGCATGGAGGAACAGAGTTAAAACAGGGGATCTCCTAAAACATATGGGTGTCCTTCATAACAGTGATTGTATCTTATGTGTCTTCTGCAAAACTGAAAATGAATCTGCCTCTCATGTCCTCTTACATTGTCCATTTTCATGGAAAGTATGGTCAGATTTGCTGCTCTGGTGGGGGTGTTTTTGGGTGGTTCCAAGGTCTATTAACTGTTTATTTCATTGGTGGTTAGGTTGGAATCATAAGAAATTGGTTAGGAGATTGTGGAGGGCCTTACCTTCTATTGCTCTCTGGTCCATTTGGAAGTTAAGAAATGATTGTCTATTCAATGGAGTGCAGCCTTGTGGGTCTGAGTTATGTGAGCTTATTAAGTTGAGATTTGCTCTATGGGTTAAAGCTTCTGCAAAGGGACTTCTGTACTCTGTATTGGATTTAATCAATAATCTGGATCAGATAAAGGAATGCTGTTGAGGGTTATTTGCTGATAGTTTGGTCTGTTTCTGTTATGCTGCAATCTGATTCTGTTGCTTTTGGTACTATCTGATTATGCTGTTATCTGTTTCTATTCAGCTGCAATACCTGTTTGGGCTGCAATGTCTGTTTCTATTTCTGTTCAGCTACCATCTGTGTAGGTTGTTTCTGATGTTGTGGGTGCCATTTTGGATTGTTTGGGCAAACCTGTTACTGGAGGTTGAGTTCTGTTTGTAAGAAGAGTATTTTGGTTGTCCTGCGAGCTCTACTCACTCTGTATCTGGGTTGCTATTTTTTTTGTTGCAGTTGTATCAGTGTTGTCTTACTTGTTTTGATGCTTGGTACCTTGATCTGCCACTATTTGGTGTGTTTGGGCTGCTGCTGTTTGGTCTGCCACTATTTGGTGTGTTTAGGCTGCTGTTGTTTTGGTGTCTGTTGAGGTGGATGTGTTTTGGGGCTGCCTGTGCAATACCTGATTCAGGTGGTTCAGTGCAATACCTGATTTAGCATTTCCTGCCTGTGCATTACCTGATTCAAGAAGATTCTGCTGCATCAGTGTCTAGCATTCATGCCATGTCATTGTTAAATCCTCTTTTTGTCGGTGTATCTGTTGGTCCCTCACCAACAGTTGTTAGGTTGGTGCTGGCTTATGATGGCCTTTACATCATTCCCGCCCCTCCCCCCTCCCATCTTTATTGATGTCTCTCTTCCTTTCTTGTAAGGTTTTCCCTCATCAATAAAGTTTTTGTGTTGATAAAAAAAAAATGTATTGTGTTTTATTTTGTTTAATGCAATTTTTATTTATTTTGTAACTTTGACTAAAGTTTGTGATTGATAGGCAGTGGAAAAAAACACGCGCGCACACACAAATGTACATTGTTGGAGTATCTGTGCTATTTTAGCACAGTAAATATTACACACCAGTAGAGCAGCTTATAACAATCTATATAAAATGCACTTTTGTTGAAAATAACACAAAAAACACTACACCAATAGAGATGCTCTTAGTAATTCAAGATATATTAGATTTATAAATTATAAATGTTCTCATCAGCTTTAGGTACTTTTGTTCAACTATTAAAATAGTAAAATGTGAAACATTTTAAAATTGCAACGACCCAAGGAACCTGAGGCTTACCAATGAGAAGCGCTTCATAGCTTCACACCAAGTCCTCAGTGACATAATATGAATATGCTTAAGTAGGATTAAGTAGAGTTGTTGTTACCTAGTGGGAACTTTCCTCATATTGTTTTCTTAAAAGGTTTCACTAAATTCATCGAGTTGTGCCAAAAAATAAAAAAACCTATTATTAAATGGAATTCCTAGTCTGCTTGATGAGGAGACTCAATAAATTATAAAAGAAGTGGTGTGTGGTCCAACGACTAGTTCTCTTCTTGACTGGAAGCAAGCAGGAAAAACTGGATGTTACCTTTTTGTTTCCCAAATATGCTGACCATTCTTAGCTGCTCATCTCAGACCATAACTAACCATTATAATCTTTGAACAAGAATAGTCTTATGCCATCTAAAAACATAGAATGAAACAGTGAAACCGATTTACAGTCACTGTCTTTGTAAAGATCCATAAGCCATCAAAGAAACATGCCTCAATTTTTTTTTTAAATTACATAGAAATTAAGAAATTATATCCTATAAAAGTAAACAGAGATTGTTAGGATGATAATTAGATAAAACTCTTGTATTCTATAGTTCAACAAGCCATATATTGTTCTCCTTGATTTTCCTTCAAATGTCTCGAAATAAAAAGGTAATTGCACAAGATTGAAGATATTGTTCTCCTTGATTTTCCTTCAAATGTCTCAAAATAAAAAGGGGTGACTATGCTTCTATGGTTACAGACAATATTTCTGAAAACACCAAGTCATTACCATGGCACAGCATATATTCCATTAAAGGCAATAAAGGATTACAGTCTTCAGTGTAACAGTGATAAAATAGGACAACCACGCAAATTGTGCTCAAGGTCTATATGATTGATGAAGATATGAGCATCAAATTCCCCTTAAAGTAAATTTTAGTTTCATAAATCCCCTTAAAGAAAGGGTTAATAACATGTATATCCTACACACAAACCTTAACTAAACTAGTAGCTAGATTAAAGAATCAAGAGTTTTTTTTTTTTTTTCGTCAGTAGATTAAAGCATAAAGAGGTTCACCATGTCACATCTTTTCTTCCAAACTTTCTTTGCTCAATAATGCTAGAGATCATGAAAAGCCACAACCCTCTCACATTAGGCACTAAAATTAATGTCTAAAATCTACTCCACAATTGAACTCATAACCTTGATTAACTTTGTTTATCTGCAGAAAAAATTAAATTTGAGA